GTGCCGAAGTCGCCATGATACCGCACCCGACCGAGCCGCCGACTCGCACTCAAGTTCCCGCTGGGATGTGCCGAACGGTCAACACCACCGCGGCCTCGTCGGTCGCGCCAAACTACATGGCCGCTGCGCGCGCGCATGCGCTGGCTGGCGCGGCCGCAGAGATGCACCAGCCAGCGCCAAGCACTCATCGCAGTCGCCGCCGCATGAGGTTTGCAAACCAAGTTGCGGGTGGGTGGGTGGGATGGTTGCGCGAGCAGTGGAGTGGACAATTCACTGCGAACAGAAATTAATTCTCCTTTCTAAAAAGAAAGCTCGGTTCTACCACCCTCCACACCCCCGGATTTAACGATCCCCCCTTTCGTATGCAAATTCCAAATGATTATGCCCCATCGCCCATCCTAAATATGAATTTACACTATCCCAGGGGCCGGCATCGCCCCCCCTCGCCACCCTCTGCAATTACCCTGGCGACGCAACCAACCCCTGCGCAATGCGGGGCAGGAGTAGCTTGTGAGCATGTACTTCTGCGAGCGGCAATCGGAAGGTTCGCAGATCCCCAACCAAGGGAAAAACGATGAGTAACTAAGTGAACCCCTGAGTCACTGAGGAAAACGCAAGGTCCAAAAGGAGACTGTGGGCAGGGGACTTGCTTGAAACGTCGGCGGGGCAGCATCAACATGACGTGGCCGCCCAGGGACGGCGAGGTCCTGCTCAGGTCTGCGAAGCGCCTCACTCCGCTGGACCCACCGGCAGACCTCGAAAGCGGCGAGCCCAACAGCAGCCCGCGAAAGTGGCGACACTTTCGCAGGTAGCCCCCCAGGGACGGGGAGGTTTACGTCGGGCCCGCGCGGTGCTTCACCCCGCTGGACCCACCAGCAGCCCTCGAAAGCAGCGACACTTTCGCAGATCGCAGCTCCCAAGGGACGGCGAGGTCGACTTCAGGTCTGCGCGGTGCCTGACTCCGCTGGACCCACCACCAGCCCTCGAAAGTGGCGACTGCTTCGCAGATCGCAGCCCCCCCCCCAGGGACGGCGAGGTCTACCTCTGATCCGCGCGGTGCCTCACTGCGCTGGACCCGCCAGCAGCCCGCGAAAACGGCGACAGTTTCGCGGATCGCAGCCCCCCAGGGACGGCGAGGTCTACCTCAGGTCCGCGCGGTGCCTCACTCCGCTGGACTCACCAGCAGCCCACGAAAGCGGCGACAGTTTCGCAGATCGCAGCCCCCAAGGGACGGCGAGGTCTACCTCGGGCGCGCGCAGTGCCGCACTCCGTTGGGCCCACCAACAGCCCGACAGGTTCGCAGATCGCAGCCCCCCAGGGACGGCGAGGTCTACCTCAGGTCCGCGCGGTGCCCCACTCGGCTGAACCCACCACCACACAGCGAAAGCGGCGACACATTCGCAAATCGCAGCCCCCAACGGACGGCGAGGTCTACCGCAGGTCCGCGCGGTGCCTCACACTGCTGGACACACCAGCAGCCCTCGAAAGCGGCTACATTTTCGCAGATCGCAGCCCCCAAGGGAAGGCGAGGTCGACCTCAGGACCGCGCGGTGCCTCACTCCGCTGGACCCACCACCAGCCCTCGAAACCGGCGGCAGTTTCGCAGATCGCAGCCCCCCCGGGACGGCGAGGGTTACCTGAGGCCCACGCGGTGCTTCACCTCGCTAGACCCACTAGCAGCCCCCGAAAGCGGCGATAGTTTCGCAGATCACAGCCCCCCAGCGACGGCGAAGAGAAGGCAGGATCAGGAAGGAAGCGGGGGGCGGGAGGCGGGAGCAGGGCGACGCGACCCCACCGCTCCATTCAAAACGGATACCCAACCAAGGGGGGTTGGGAAACAATACTATGCGCGCACACTCGATTATCACAAATCATAAGTTGCCAAAAACTCCGTTACAAAAAGCGGGTCGAAATACACACGCGCGCGTGGTCGCGCGCGCATGCCGACATCAAAAACCTCCAGTTCCAGAAAAAATGCCAAAATCCATTAGCCAAAAAAATGTATAGCTTAGAAATGGTCTCGCAGCACGGGCTTCCCCCCGCACCACCCCACACCACCCCGAAAAAAAAAACGTTCGCGCGCGCTCTTGCGAATCCCGAAGAAAGCCATAGGTTTTCAACATGTCCTAAAATGCTACCAAACAGGCTTCGCGCGCGCATGCCGAAATCGTTCGAACACCCTTTGCGCGCGTGCCGTCGCGAAACTCCCTCGCAACAAATGGGACCCGTCTTCGGCTTCGGAAAAAATCGAACGGCCAAAAATATAAACACACAAGTTCCCGCGACACGGGTGACAACGATAAAAGAGAAGAAACAAAAAACGTGCGCGCGCTCTTGCGAATCCTTAAGACGGCCATGCGGTTTTCAACATTGTTCCTAGAATGCTACCAAACGAGTTTCGCTCGTGCGCATGTCGAAATTGTTCGAATGCCCTTGCACGCATGATGGAGTGGCACGACCCGTGTCACAAAATACCATGCGAGCCACTTTCGCGCGTCTGCCGCGCGCGCATGTTGAATTCAACCGAAAATCTTCATCACCGACGCCAAGACGGCGCTTTCGCTGGCTACCCCGCCGTCGCTGTCCGCATCGTCACCAACATCGCCACGATCGTCATCGCGTCCACAAATGTCGACGTTCCCATGATACCGCGCCCGCCCAAGCCGCCGACTCGCGCTGAAGTGTCCGCTGGGATGTGCCGAACGGTCAGCGCCACCGCGTTCGCGTCCGCCGCGCCAAACTAGCTGGCCGCTGCGCGCGCGAGCATGCGCGGGCTAGCGCGGCCGCAGGGATGCACCAGCCAACACCCATCACTCATCGCAATCGCCCCCGCATGGGTTTTGCAAACCAAGTTGTGGGTGGGTGGGTGGGGTGATTGTGCGAGCAGTGGAGCTGACAACTTGAAGTTCTCCAAGTGAATTGCACCACCTCAACTGCACTGCATAGACTGCAAGAACCTACTGTTTGGAGCCAACGCTGGCTATGTACGTATACACACACATACATGTGTATGTGTGAAAACCTGCACAACCAGAAATGCACACATACATGCACATATGCATGCGTGCGCGCATACATGCATGCACGCATACACTACGTACGTACATACATACAGACATGCATAAATACGTGCATGATTGCATACACGCACACGTATCCACCACCGTGCCGCTGGGCACCGAATGGGCGTGTCCTCAGGTCGGTTGCTCAATCCCACAAGCCTCATATACATACGCATACACATACGCATACGCATACGCATGCGCAGATGCGCACGCATACGCATACGCATACGCACACATGTACGCGTGCACACAAACATGCACATGCACATGCATATGTACATATACACACAGACACATGCTCCTACACATACACATAAGCACCTCTCATGTATAGAACCATTTACATAAATGGATACCACAACGCAACACCCCAGATTTGCTGATAAGAGTGCAAGGGCGGCGACGGGGGGCGAAAGTATTCCCCCACAAATCACCCCCACATGTTGCTCCCAAATATTGCCCCCACGTGTTGCCCCCATGCATTGCCCCCCAAATATCGCCCACGTGGACTGCCCCAAAGCTTCGCCCCCAAACATCGCCCCCAAAGTTCGCCCCATGCCGCGCCCTCGTGGATTGCCCCCACGTGCTACTCAAAAGAGTCGCCCCCGTAAACTGCCCCCGAGTATTGTGGATTGCCCCCATGGGTTGCCCCCGCGCACCGCCCACATGCATTGCCCACGCGCATTGCCCAAAAGAACCACCCCAAAGTATCGCCCCGCCCCCGCGCATCGCACCCACGTGTTGCCCCCAAGTATAGCATCCAGGGACAGAGACCTCCATCCAGCCACGCACACGAAGAGAGGAAGTAAGACCACCACCCTCCGACTCTGGCAAACCGATCCATATGTGCGCATATATCTATATCCATATATATATATATATACACACATATGCCCCCCCCCCCCCCCCCCCCCCCCCCCTCCACCACCACCACCACCACCACCACCACGCCACATGATCATACAGATTCGCCTTCACCGCGGCCGCCGATCGATATCTTCTTTCTCCGTTCCGCCCCCCCCCCCCCCCCCCCCTCCACCACCACCACCACCACCACCACCGCGCACCCACATGATCATACAGATTCGCCTTTTACCGCGGCCGCCGATCGATATCTTCTTTCTCCGTTCCCTTCTCCTGTCTCTTCCTTTCTCTCTCCCCCCCCCCTCCTCTTCCTCCTCCTCCTCCCCCCCGTGTTATTCCTTCTCGGAATCATCGAAATCGTCAGAAACTAAAGAAAACCTTCTCCCACAAAAATCTCTCTCTCTCTCTCTCTCTCTCTCTCTCTCACTCACACACACACACACACACACACACACACACACACAAAAAAAAAAAAAAAAAAAATGAGAATGCATGGAAAGGCTGGCGGCCAAAATTCCCTAGGAATACTGTGCTTTTGTTGTTTTCGTTTATATATATATATATATATATATATATTAAAAAATGTTGAAGGTTTTCTTTGATTTTCGCGATTTCGCAAATCTCGCCCCCCCCCTCCTCCTCCTCCTCCTCCTCCTCCTCCTCCTCAGTCTCCTCCTCCTCCCTCCTCCTCCTCCTCCCCCACTCCTCGCCCACCCCCCCCCCCTCCTCCTCCTCCTCAGCCTCCACCTTCTCCCTCTTCTCCCCCCCCCCTCCCCTCCTTCTTATCCCCCCCCCTCCCCCCCTCCTCCGCTGCGCCGCCGGCCGTCAGCATGGGGGTAGGTACCGCAATTCCACCGATTGCTACCCAATCTGTCGCAACCGTTGCGTTGCTATGTTCCAGGCGGAGCGCGCGCATAGAGGTCTACAAAAGATGGTGGTTCATACGTGCGCGCACGCATCGCACCGACTGCCATCGGCTACGACTGCGTCGCGCATCACGCGCGCTCGCACGGCGCGGCCGCCTCCTCAGTCAGCCTCGCCGCGGCGCGCCGTCGCCGACTCAGAGGGCGCCCCCCCCTCGTCAAGCACGCGCGCGAGCTCTGCCGACAGACCGTCGCCATCCTCGACGTCGATCGTTTCACCGTGGGCCGAGGCGGCAATGGAAGCGAAGATCGCCCTCTGCTCATCGGCATCCACGGGTGACAACGGACCGCCGCAGCCCATCATGAGCCCCCTCGCCCTCTTCACTGGCAGAGGCGAGGACAAGTCCTCGAACGCACCGTGGTGCGCCTTGGCGAGGCTCTTGAAAATCGCGAGCTGCTCGCCCTGGTCCTCCTAGGTGAGCTCGCCGCAACGCCCAGCGATGTTGGGCTGCGCGGAGCTGGCGGCGCGCGAGCTGTCTTCTGGCGGTTCGCCCCTTCCGCCGCCGAAGCCGAACGCGGCCTCCTCCTGGGACAACTCGGTTGGCGGCTGGGGAAACGCCGAAGCGGCCGCGGCGGCTGGCGGAGCGCTGGCCGCGCCTGGATCGAACCCTGAAACGTTGCCGACAGCGGAGACAACGCGCGCAGGGCCATCGCCGAAGATAGGAGCAACATGGACAGTCGCAATAGTGGGCACGTCAAGGCCCGCGACCACATTGCTCATGCACCCAATCGACCAAGCCATCTTTTCGGCGTAGTCTGAGGGGAGCGGGCGGATGGCTGGCGACGTCGTGTCCCGCACTTCGCTGACGAAGAGGTCGGGGCTCCTGGGGTTGGGCCACGGCATGAACTCTGCACCATCCTGCAGGTTGGCGGATGCCACGCGCCAATGCACGCCGAGGTCCGTCACCACGATCACGTGCGCCCTGGCGAGGACGGCGTGGAAGTCCTCCTCTGTCCTGACATCCCCCAGAGACGGCGCGATGATACGCTTGAGCAGGTCGAGGCCGTACTCGTTTAGCGTCGCGGCGTCCAGCGCCGCCTTCTCCGCGTCGCGGTCGTAGGGGTTCGCGACGGCCTGTCTGCACGGCCCTTGCTCGAAAGCGCAGCCGCCCCACCGAGCCCACAGCAGAGCGTGCTCTCCCTTGGGGTTCAAGAAAGCCTTGAGCACATCAGCGGATACCTTCAAGCGGCCAAGCATTCGCCCGATCACCAACGCCACCGCGACTTCCACTTGGGAAGGCGATGCGGCGGGAAGAACCGCAGTCTCCCTGGAAGCCGCGGGCGGCAATTGCGCGGGCCACGCCAGGCCGCCGAACCTTCTGAAGCAGGCCGTCGTCGAAAATGCCAGGGAGGATCTCCGTCGTTGGCTCGCACCTGAAGAAATCCACGTGCTTCACCGTCAGGAAAGCGATCTCATCGGCGGCGCCCTTCTTCTGTATGCTGTGCGCCGAATGAACCCAAGCAAGCGTTTTCGAACCGTTGCTCTTGCCAACTCTGGACTTCCCGACCCACGGCACCCCGTGCATGCGGAGTGTGCCAATCATCAGGCGGAGGACGCCATTGAGGAACCAGCCAGAGAAGCCCTTTAGCGTCAAACTCCAGCGCGAGATCGGTTTGGCATTCGTCCTGCCCCTCTGGCAGTTGCGCAGCGCAGTCTCCACCTTGGACGCAGGCCATCCGAATATCTTCGAACCCTCCCTGCTGACCTCTGTGCCAACCCATTCCATGAACTGGTTCCTGTTATTGCTGCGGGGATGCGGATGAACGTGTAATCCTGCGCGCGCTCGTCCTCCTCTAGCGGCTGCTTCCGCTCGCGCTGCGGCTCGATCGTGAAGCACCCTGCGGTGGAGGCGCTGGATAGGCATACATTCGGTGGGAAGCCCAGGGGGGGGGCCGATCGCTGGGTCGCCACAGACAGGGCGCTCAACTCGTTTTGAAACGCGGGGTGGGGGGAAATGCGCCTGAGCTGGGGCGGGCAGGAGGGGGGTCCTTATCCGAGCGCGCCCACCGTATTTGATAGCCCTCGAGCTTCCCCAGCATGAACTGGAACGCAATCGACCCCGTCCGAAAGTTTTGGCCGTAGTCGATGTTGTGGGCCTCTCCGCGAGCACACTTGGGGATGGTCGCAGAATCGGCTCTGTTTTTTCTCGGAAGAAAAGACCTTGAGGATGCGGTATGCCGAACACTCGCTGTCCTCTGGCTTCTGGCGAACGACGAAGATCTGCATCGTGCACGGGACGACGGGCTCCTGCTTGAGCGACAGCGGCTCCTGCAAGTCCTTGAACTTACCCCGTGCGTACAACTCGTGCACCTTGTCGAAGTCAATCGGGCCCTCGTAGTTGGATACCACGTCGGCGAAAGCGACCAACTTCGTGGCACTCGAATTCGCGATCGGTAGCAGAGGAAGGTCGAAGATAGAAAGGCCACCAGCGAACGCCAACCTGCCTTTCTTGACGCACTTCGAGGGGTGGTAGTCTAACTTGCTACCGCTGACCATCAACGACGCCTCCTCAAAGGCGAGCTTGCCGCCCCCCTCGGCGTCGCACGCAACCTGCCCCAGCGACTGCACCTGGTCAGCAGGGGCGCTCGCCATGATCCGCGGCGAGAGAAAGGCGGGTCGGGCGGTGGCCTCGGATGACGGGCAACAGCGCGCAAGCGTTGATCACAGACGGCAGCGGATGCCAGCTGAGCACCTGGGGAGGGAGCGACGACGACGAACGATGCACACTGAAGATGGAAGTAAGAAGTAAGAGGGCGTGGGCACGACGACGATGAGTCAAAGATGCGGCACGGCTGCGGCGGGGGCAATCAACGCGACGTCAATCACGCGCACTCGGGAACACATGCGCGCTGTATAAAAACACACCCCTCGACATCGGCACTCCGCAATAAAAAAACACACCCCTCGACATCGGCACTCAGCACGCCGCGCCCGCGACCTCCCAGATGGCATCCGCGGTGGCCGCCCACATATCCTCGCCCTTGTTCCAGCACTCGAACTGGACCGAGCGAACCGAAGCCGCGAGACGCCTGCTGCCTGGGAGGTCCGCGCGCGTGCCAATGAGGGTTTTGAAAAACCTCCAGGCGCGGTCGATGATCTGCGCCCCTGCCTTTACCCTGATCTTGGAGACGCCGGGCAACTTGCGGGTGACAACCTTCGAGTAGACTGGCCTCAACCAAGCCCACTTCCTGTCGATCTTCTTCCGCTTCTCGCAGTGCACGACGTGGTCGCGCACGAGCCCCGACGCGCGCATCTTGTAGCTGCGGGCCCCGTCAGAGCGCAAGATGACCTCACTGTTCTCTAAGCGGCTTTTTAGGGACGGCGCCCAATCCATATTCTTGATGGCGCCTAAGCCTGGCGCGTTGGCCTCGGCGCCGCCTGACTGGGTCTTCCACAGAACGAGGCTATCAGGGCGCCCGCGCTCGACGACGCCCGCCCACTGTTCCCACGTCCTGGAACGACCGTCGTCGGACAGCTGGGCGCGGAAGACCGACTCATCCGCCTCCACGTCGAACCAGCGCCGCTGGGCTTCGTCGCCGAAGACAACGTTGGGTTCGTTCTTTTCCACGTAGATCTCCCACACGGTTGCCGCGGCCGCGCTCATGCCCTCGATCATCTTGCGGTTGGCACCTGCCAGCAAGTGCATCTGGGCGGTGGTCACGCCGAGCGCGAGGCAGGAGAGGACCTCGGCCTTCGTCGACAAACTCGACGATTGGCAACCCCCGCCAGACTTGAAGACGGGGCGGGCGGTGCACGGGTCGACGGTCTTGCCGCGCAGCCTACCGCCGTTGCATCGCCAATGCGGGCCGCGATTGTCACCCTGCACCCGCGCGCCGCAGGTTCCCACGCCGCAGTGAGGGCAGGCGCGGCCTTCCCAGTCAAGCAGGACGCCATCCTCGAGGAGCAGGTCTACCATCTGGTCCGCAGTTTCCCCGTGAAAGCTGTCGTAGTTGCGGCGCCAGGTTTCGCGCTCCCTGCGGGATTTCACGGTCCTCTTCCCGTGGCGCACGTACTCGACCTTCTCCGCTTGCTTCCTGCGCTGGCCCATCCTGTCCTCGCCCCTCTTGCGCAAGGGGAGCGGCCTGAAAGCACTCGCCGGCCGCTTCTTCGGCGCGGAGGCGGCAGCAGGGCGTTTGATAGCACGCTTTCCCATCGCCGACGGTGGCAGAACGGTGGCCCAGACGGTCGGTCGAGAAAAACGCACTGAGCCAAAATGCGCCGCGGGTGGGATCGGGGCCCTCGTTGTCTGGAGGTTCGTCGGCTTCCTCTGGTCGTGGCGGTGGCGCTGTCGGTAGTTATGGTAGGAGTGGTTGTAGTAGCAACAGTAGTAGCGGTGGTAGTAGTGCTAGTCGTCGTAGAGCTGATAGGAATGGCAGTGGTAGTCGTAGTAGAAGAACAAAATCCCTACGACGCCCGTATCAGAGAGGGCATCCTAAAATCAGGATGCCCTTTTCGTGCAGCGATGCGCCTGTTCACGTTAGACTGAACATGCTTGTCGGCGGCTCCATCGTCGCCTGCTTTTCTGGGTGGGTGGTTCGTCTCGTTGTCTTCATGTCATCATTGCACCGCGTGTCCTACGACGCCCGTACCGGAGAGGACATCCTAAAACCAGGATACCATTTTGCGCAGCAGTGCGCCTGTTCACGTTAGACTGCACTTGCTTAACGGCGGCTCCATCGTCGCCTGCTTTTCCGGGTGGGCGGTTCGTCTCGCTGTCTCGATGCCATCATTGCACAGCTTTTCCTACGACGCCCGTATCAGAGAGGGCATCCTAGAATCAGGATGCCCTTTATGCGCAGCAATGCGCCTGTTCACGTTAGACTGAACATGCTTGTCGGCGGCTCCATCGTCGCCTGCTTTTCTGGGCGGGTGGTTCGTCCCGTTGTCTTGATGTCGCCATTGCACCGCTTTTCCTGCGCGGCATCCTGCCGATGCCGTTGCGCAGCCCCCCCTGCCTGGCAGAAGCGCGTTCCGCCCTCCATTTCCCCCTGTCCGCCTCCTCCTCCTCCTCCCCCTCCCCCTCCTCCTCGGCCGGCCCCCTGCTGCGCCTCTGGTCGTGCCCCCCGCCGCGCCGTGCCTCTCTCTTCCCGTTAGCGAGCGAAGCGTTCTTTGGCCTCGCGGCGGGCTCCTAGAGCTTTGCCTAGTTGTCCTGGGAAAAGCGAAGGATGGCCCTCAAGTGAGTGACCCTCCAAGTCGCCCAGCCCCTCAGAAGCTTCGTCGCCGTCGGCGGCAGCTCCTGGTCGCACACGCGCGAGAAAGCCTCGAACCGGGACTTCCAGGCCCTGAGGGCCTTCGCGTCTGCAGCTCCCTTCGCCTGTGCGTTCTCCTTGGCCGCGCTGCTCTCGGCCAGCTCCCCCGTCAGTTTCCGCGCTCGCGCCTGCGCGGGCGAGGCAGCAAGGCACCCGAACAGACGGGGGGGATTTCGGCGGCGTGGGCTCGCTGGAGTTGCGTTTGCTTCGTGTTTGGTGCTCTTTGCCGGCGTTGCTGTTGTTGCGGTTGCGGACGTTGCGGTTGCGGCCGTTGCGGTTGCGGTCGTTGCGGTTGCTGCCGTTGCGGTTCTTCTATGCGCAGTTGCTTCGTGCGTCTGCGTCCTGCTCGGCTGCCCTTGCGTCGTTGCTGAGTCGCCCTTGCTGCGTGTGGTGTGTTTGCCGTCGTTGCGACGTTCCTCGGTGCCGTTCCGTCTTTTGCGGTTGCGGGCAGGGTGGTGGCGGTGGAATTTCAAAACATCGTGTCCCGAAGCTGCTCGTTGGACCACGCACGCTGCTCGGCGAGCTCCCAGTTGTCCGCCGCCTCGCCCTGGCACCACTCAACCTGAGCACGAGCAGGCGGGACAATGCGTTTACATGTTTGGAGATGTTTGAAGCGCAAAGAGGAGGATAGATCGCATTCTGCCCTTCCAGGTCCGCGATCTTCTTCAACAGCGGCCTCTGGAATCGCATCTTGAGCTCGTGCTTCGCCGCGTTGGCCCTGTCCTTTTTTACTATTGCCTTGTACACGCGGTTGTTCTCGAGCTTGCGGTCGTACTGTTCCGCGCCGTGTTCAGGGTTGCCCATGGTTTCCCAGCGGGGCGCTGGCTAAGCGAAGCAACGGCCTTGAACACGCGCGTGCTGCACGAAATAAAAAATGAGAAGGAGAACGAGTGAAGGAGGAGGAAGAGGAGGAGAAAAAGGAGGGGGAGGAGGACAACGGGGAGGAGGAAGAGGAGGAGGAGGAGGAGGAGGAGGAGAGACGAGGGAGGGGGGAAGAGGAAAAAGGAGGAAGAAGGAGGAGAGAGGAGAGGATGAGGAAGGGGAGGAAGGAGATGAAGAGGAGAGGAGGAGGAGAGAGAGGGACATCAGGAACATGAGGAGGACGCAGAAATTGGATGCAGAGGTTGATGAATAGAAATGGGTTGCAACCGATTGTAACGCGGTCGCTTGGATTGAAATGCGCCGCGAAAGACGGAGCTGATCCCTAAGCTTGCAATCCATTGAACTGCATCCGTTTGGACTGCAATCGAATGGGTTTCGACTGCCAGCGCATCAACACATCATGAAGAAGAGCATGATGAGGGAAAGGCGAGGAACACTGGAGAGATGAAAGGAGAATGTGTATGATCATGGGGGGGGCGAGCATATATATATATATATATATATATATATATGAATACGTATATCTATGTATACACCCAAGTTGTTGTTTATCTGGTTTGATTTAAATCCGCCGGCCACCAGGCTGTAGACAGGGATTGTGCTGCTCCCTGTACCAGTTGCACCTTCCAGTTTCCACTGTTACAGTTTTGCTTTTTGCTGCTTACTGTTCCTTGTTGATGAACGCGCGAGGGGGGAGGAGCCCAAACCAGCAGAACTACCACGCCTTCAGAAGGTTCTCAGAATTTCTGGGGGGTAATAATTAACACCCCTCACGCAGATCCGCAGGGTCAGGATCAAAAAACACAGGATTTGACACATGTCTGAAAATCTGTTACACCCCTCACGCAGATCCGTAGGGTCAGGGTCCAAAAACACAAAGGATTTGCCACATTTCTGAAATTCGGTGGCACCCCTCACACAGATCGGCGGGGTCAGGGTCCAAAAACACAGGGGATTCGCTACAATTCTTAAATCCGGTGGCACCCCTCACACAAATCCGTAGGGTCAGGGTCCAAAAACACACAGGATTTGCCACATTTCTGAAATTCGGTGGCACACTCCACGCAGATCCGCAATGTGAGGGTCCAAAAACAAAAAGGATTTGCAACATTTCTACAATCCGGAAGGACCTCTCACGCAGATCCGCAGGGTCAGGGTCCAAAAACAAAAAGAATTTGCCACATTTCGGAAATCCGGTGGCACCCCGCAGATCCGCAGGGTCAGGGTCTAAAAACACTAGGGATTTGCCAAATGTCCAAAAATCGATGGCACACCTCACGCAGATCCGCAGGGTCACGACGTCTTACCAACCGCCAACTGTGGTAACCCCTCTGGTGATCAAGTGGTTTTGCTCATCACGAGTCGGCCACGCATGAAGTTCCGATACTGCTTCACGACAGCGCCAAAGCCTCATGACGTAGCTCTTGCATAGCGCATTATCCGAGAGAGGGCCGGCGGCAGGGGGCGAAGCCCTTACGGATAAAAAACAACAACAAAAATATGTCGATACATATATATATATACAATAATAAACATAGACATGGACATAGCCATAGGCATGCCTCCACAATCGCGAGTGCATCTGCATATCTATATATCGGAGGTGAGTAGGTGAGATCGAAGTGGAGCGGGAAACCCCCTACCGGGAAATCGGTTTCGGTTTCGTGTTCGTGCGCGCCGTGCGTGCGGGCGAGGCGAAACTGCGTGGGCGGGCGAGAATAAAGTCTCCTCTGGCTGAGGCGCGGCCGGACCAAATGATTTTTTTTCCGGGGGCCGGTGGCCCGCGGTGTCCCGCCGGTATCCCGACTCCGGCTGAGGCGCGGCCAGACCAAATGATTATTTTCCGGGGGCCCGCGGTGTCCCGCTGGTGTCCCGCCGGTGTCCCGTCGGTGTTCCGATGATGCTGATGATGATGATGATGATGATAATGCTGATGATGATAATGATGTCGGTGATGTTGATGATGGTACTGGTGATGGTGATGGTGGTGATGATGGTGTCGCGATGACGATGATGATGATGATGACGATGTTTATGATGATGATGGTGATGGTGGTGATGATGATGGTGTCCCGATGATGATGTTGATGATGACGATGTTGATGATGGTGGTGTCCCGTTGATAATGATGATGATGTTGATGACCCTGGCTACGTCGATGATGATAATATGATAATGATATGATGCTGATGAAAAAAGTTGATGATGATGGTGTCCCGATGATGATGGTGATGAGGTTGATGATGATGATGATGTTGATGATGATGGTGATGATGATGGTGTCCCGATGATGATAATGATGTAAAAATTGGTGTCTTGATGATGATGATGTTGATGATGAGGACGAGGATGAGATGCTGATGATGATTTTGATACTCGTGGACCGATGACAGTGATGATGATGATGCTGATGTTGATGATGATGACGGTGCCCCGATGATGATGGTGATGACGACGATGGTGATGATGATGATGATATCGATGATGATGGTGTGCCGGTGATGACGATGATGAGGATGATGATATTGCTGATGATGCTGGTGCCCCGATGATGATGATGTTGAAGATGTTGTTCATGATGATGATGAGATGAAGATGGCGGTGTTCCGAATATGATGATGAAGGTTTCCCCATGATGATGATAATGTTCATGATGATGATGGTGACGATGATGGTGTCCCGATGACGATGACGGAGGTGATGATGATAATGGTGTCCCGATGATGATGATGATGATGATGATGATGATGCCGCTGATGACGGTGATGATGGTGATGATAATGATGACGTTGATTGTGAGATCGATTGTGGTATCGATTGCGCGACCGGTAGCGAGACCGAATGTGAGATCGATTGCGAAATCGATAGCGAGATCGATAGTGACATCGATTGCGAGGTCCATGGTCAGAACGATTGCGAGACCCATCAAATGAAATAGATCGAGTGGGATCGATTGTGAGACCGATCGAATGAGATTGATCGAGCGAGACCGATAGTGAGATCGATATTGATATCAATTGCGAGATCGATCGGGTGAGACGCTGCCCCCCCCCCCCCCCCCGCCCCCCACCCCACCCCCCCCCCACCCCCCGCCCACACCCCACACCCCGAACCCCCTTTATCACCCGAAGGGTGGTCGTATAGGTGCATATATATGTACATACATATATACATTGATGTATGCGTAGTTAACTAACTTCACACATGCACGCATACGCATGCCAGCGAGTGAACAAACCTGCATGCATATACGCACCTGTGGCTTTGCGAAATCATGCAGGTCTTGCCTGCCGCCATGATAATAGCGGAACGCCGAATTGCGATACTGCCACGAAGTAGGTTTTTGAAATTTACCATGACCAATACTTCGGAAACTATGCGCAGGCAAGACTGGACTCTGTTATCTCCAGGTCGCTATGGGCATCCATGAATAAATTGCCTGCCCCTGATCGCATCATCAGCACGGCATGACAGCCCGACACGGAGCTCGTTCGGGATGTTGACCCATTTGGCACCACGGATAAATAGCAAGGCGCCCCTGGCGATGTCAAATCGGCCACCCTTTTGCACAGGGACCCAGGGCGCTTTATGCCAGGGCTGCTACGCCCATTGCTTGGGCGCAGGAAATACGTCGGACGGGACCCGCTTGCGCATTTGGGCTTCTTTACCTGGAGGCTGTACTTGCGCATGCCTGAACGGCCGATCACGTCGACAAGGTCCAGCACCGACAGCGCCTGATAGGCCCAGCGGCGGCCACGAGGGCCCCCCTGGACAGTTCTCAGGTGGCGATTATGCCAGTCATAGTAGCCTTCGGGCGGCCAATTGTTGAGCAAGTCCGCGAGCTCCACCTAGCCGTCGCACCCGTCCAAGGGCGCGACCGATTTAACGCGCCCATCAGAAATATGGTCGCGATGAAACGGCTTGCGGCGAATAGCGGCGGCGAGCCATTCCGAACACTCACGCTTTTCATGTTCGTTTAGTTTTACTACAAGGACCCCCGCTTCCTTGAGGACCCCCTTCAGGCACTTTTTCTCGGAGCCATTGCTAAGGCAGGTTCCTTCCGCGAGACGTTGCGGACAACCTGGCGAGCGCGAGCTGCATCGCCAACATGCACGGCAGCACATCGGGCGTCGCACTGCACCGCAACGCATCGGTCAGACCCGTCGTTGGTGAAGGGCCTGCACGCCGGGTTGATATTCATTCGGTTGGCAGTGCCCAGCTGCCCCCAATAAAGCCTGCATTCTTCTAGCATTTCGATGGCAACAGCGGGTTGCCCCGCAGGAGCAATGGCCGGCTCGCCACGCAGCCTCACTGGCTCAGACACTGCAGGCGCTGCCGGCGCTGCCGATGAGCTAGCGCCCCCAGATGCCCCGGGAATTCGGGAATCACGAATGTCGAAGAACGTGCGAGGCCAATTTCTATACACCACCACCGCCCGCAACAATGAATCACCGCAAAAAGGGTCAGGGGCAAGGCCATGCCAGACGACGCTGAGACGCCACGGCGAAAAGGAGCGCGGCGCAGCTCGCAGGCTCCGCTGCACGGGGAGTTCCTGGAGCAGAAACATCACTTCTTGGTGGTGGCGCATAAAAATCGCTCCCCTTAGTAACCAGAATTTTATACACCACCACCGCGCGTGCTTCGATGAATCCTGCTTCGGCCCTTAAGAGAGAGGCGGCAGCCAGTTTGCCGTTGGCGGCGGGAGGTGGGCAGCGGGCTTCTCACCATAGCAAAACTGCACCAAATCGCATCGTATATTATTCTCGATCTTGGTGGTGGTAGTCATATTCTGCGCTCGGAGAACGGGCATCCACTGATCTTGGGAGCCGCTCCTGATGCCTTCGAAATAGTTTCCAACATCTTCTGCTTAGCACCGCCCTTTGATGAAGAGGCATCCTTGGATGATCCTCCCAGTGATGGCGCCCAGCACGTCCTGCGA